CCCGCTTAAACCACCACTTGTGATCTTTTTCTTATCTTTCTCCGATCGTTTTCCCATCTTTTCATAGCCTTTTTCTTGTCTTTTTCTTGCCTTTTTCTCGTCTTTTTCTTGTCTTTTTCTTGTCTTTTTCTTGTTTTTTTTTTTTGCTTTTTTCTTGTCTTTTTCTTGTCTTTTTTTTTTGCTTTTTTCTTGTCTTTTTAACCGCCGCCTCGCCTGGATTACGTCTTTTTAACCAACGCCATTTTATTTTATTTTTTTCCCTAGTGTAAGTTGTGGATCGTTGGATTGACGATCCGACGATCGCAGTTTTCTCCCCTGTCTGTCTGCAGGGATCGACCCGAGTTTTAATGAGGTCGTGGTGGGTTTATCAATGTCAGTCAGATACGTATGATGAGGCGGCAATCATCAAAACAAAGTTCATTAATTTCTTTTCTTTAAAGTACAAAAAGCAAATTTGATTAAATTCTGAAAAGTACGAAAGTAAATTTCATTAATTTGCGCGCTCCACTGTTTGTTTCGTGTCGGGTTTCTATTTGGAGTTCTCTTACTCTGTTTAGCGTAGAAAAATTCTTCTACGCATTTGCGGGAGTGAATGGTCCTAGTTTTTTTTTTTTTTTCTCTGTTTGGTTTTCTCATATTTTCTTGAGGCACGATAGTGAATAGTGTGAATGACTGTGAGCTTACGTTCTACAACAGCTATCTGGTTTTTTTTTTTTTTTTTTTTTTTTTTTTGGGGTCTGGTGATAAGTGGAGTTCGCAAGATGAGGAAAATGATATCACAGAAGACATATATATACACACAGACACAGACACAGAGAGAGAGAGAGAGAGAGAGAGAGAGAGAGAGAGAGAGAGAGAGAGAGAGAGAGAGAGAGAGAGAGAATATACGTGTATATATCTGTGGTTGGAGAAGTCAGTCGTTTTGTAGAGGGAGGAGTGAAGATCATACACACAGAGAGGGGGCATATGTCCGACGGGCTATCTCTATCACTACCGGTCTTCTTTCGAAGAATCCTGATCATGAATGTATACAAGCTATCTTTCCGGTTAGATACGGTGATGCTGAGTGTGCGTTGTGTTCGCGGGAAGACGGTAGTAATCCGAAAAATGCAATCGATTTGGTGCGTACCGATTGGCACAGTGGTCCCCACCATTTCAATGAAGGATGGCGGAATGTATGGTGACAGTCATACCGAGCGGAATCTCCTTCGGTTTCGCACAGTGGTCCCCCCCACTTCATTGAAGTTTCGTTGAAGTTTCAAATGCAATAGCATTGATGAGGAGGATGATTTTCGTCCTCATTACTTTCTGGCACTGCGGTTGTGGTCCCCACCTATTCCGGTTGACAGGTGTCATCCTATTGCGACATGTTATCTTTTTTCTGATGACGTGGCATCTTATTCCCGCCGACACGTGTGCCGATCAGCAGAGGTGCGAGAGCGAAGATAAAAGCGATGACAGGAAAATGTGCGCTCTGAGGGGAACGGGAAAGGGAAAGGGAAAGGATGACTCCTCAGAGAAGAGAAGAGAAGAGAAGAGAAGAGCATTTGGTAATGAACGTTCTACGACTGCCAGGAAAGGAGGAGATCATCGTTTACTCGGCCAAAAAATGGATGAAACGATGGTTTAGCCATGGATTCCAAAAATGGCTTCGACTCCAAATATAGCCACGGCTGTTCATTTTCCGTTTCGGTGGAGGAAAGGTTGTTTATGTCGGGCTGTAAAATGATATAAAGTGCGCGGAAATATGAGTTGTGTGTGTGTGTGTGTGTGTGTGTGTGTGTGTGAGAGAGAGAGAGAGAGAGAGAGAGAGAGAGAGAGAGAGAGAGAGAG